TTGAAAAAGGGAACCCTTTAGATGGTACTTTGTGTTTCCTTTCTGGACATTGACAACAAATTTCAAATATTAGCAGAAATATACACTGGAGGGGACACCCTGTGCAAACACACTCCTATTGGGAGTTAGGATTTATTCCTTCCCCCTACACCTTTTTACTAGCAGAAGGCAGTTCCTATCCATCCCCTCCCTTCTGAATAGCTTTGCCAGGAAGCAAAAGCAGCAACAGGCATCGTTTAACCTACCTCAGGGCCGTATTAGACTTGAGCTACTACTAACCCAGTCACACTGAGTAATCAGTCAGGGCCAACTATTATTAATATCCTTGTTCCATACAATACAAATGACTTTTCTTGACAGGTAAGCTACCAGCTACTGCTTCTGGCTGTCAGACCCAGATATGTGCCATGACAGAGGAATAAGGCGGGGCAGAATTAAGTCTTTTGGGAAACACTTGCACGGCTTTAACTCTCCAAAACGTTTTGCTAAATTCTACACAAACCAGAACACTACCTGTCCTTCATGACACTGTCCTGTCCCCCAAATCAGTCAGCAATGTTAAAAAACCTAAAATAATTTGGAGTATCTGCTGTCTTTGCATACCTCTAGACCACCACAGCTACTTCCTTACTACTTTTTTCTTCATGAAGAAAATTCTTGCCTGTTGGTTGAAGCTTCTAATTTAGCAAGGATGTTAAGAAACAAACAACACATCCCAAGCTGATGGGACTGAGAAAGGTTACTTTCTACAACTCCTGCAAATCCTTACTGTAAGGAGGAAGCCACATATGAGGAGTGGCTTGGGAGAGAAGACACCACACACAGTAATGGACTATGCAATGCCTGAGATTGCTCTGAGTCCCAGAGAGAGCCTGGGAGTGGGAAGGTCAGTAATGACTGAGGCCACCTTCATCCAACTCCAGTGCAGAGCTTGAAGCTCAGACTGTCTTAGCAGCGCTGTACAGAATGTCAGTTGTGACATCCGACCCAGCAACAGGTAGCTGGGGTTGTACTTCTATGCAGAACTAGCCAGAATTCATGAAAAACTGCAAGAACACACATCCTGCAAGTTCTCCACCTCCCATTCTGTGTGCATGCCCAGAGCCTGAAGGCAGCTAATACTAATGCAACGCTGTCATACGGAGGGGAGCTGCTTCCACAGGATGCTCGGACATTAATCTCCAACTTGGATGACAAAGGCAACAAGAATTACCCCTCAAAGAGGGCTAACAGACATAGCCATTGTAAATCCTGTAGCCTGTCCAAATTAAATTGGGGAACACCACTAGGAATGCTCTCAGACCAAGAACATCAGATGTGCTTAAAGCAAACAAGGTTTTCTCCTGTAGCATCTTGAAAGAAAGAAAACATTGACCAGATCTAAGAAAAATTCCTCTTCTTGTTCAAGTACCTCCTCCTTTTTTATGGAAGACTGTCCATCCGTGATTAACACAGGCAGGGATTGCAGACTGACCTGTTGTGTACGCAGTGAGAGGAGCTGGGGGAGCGGCTCACAAATCTTGCAGAGGTGGTTCTGTGGCACAGCCCCATGTCCCGGGTTGGGGGAGAGCTGATGTGAACAGCTGAGGGCTGCTGCTCTTTCAGAACTTCTGTTCTAGCACCAGAGGCTGTGTTAAATATGAAACAGTTAAAAAAATACACACTGGGAACCATCCCAAAGAGCCCATCATAAACATAACTGATAAAACGCACAAGAATTACAGCAGAGTAAATTGTGTTTCGTTTTAAATGCAGCTAAAACACACTTCCTATAGCTAATTGCTTTCTTGGTTTGTTTGGGTTTTTGTTTGTTTTAACCATTTTTAACACAAATTTGACACTTTGATGTGGAACAACTGCTTTCTGCAAACGGAGAACTTGCACTATTTTCCTTCTCCAGACTTGCTTTTTCAGCAGCTGTTGCTATATCCACACAAAGGATGTTCTCATATAAGCAAAATATTTTTTCAAGAAATTTTAATACTTGCTTGGCTCTAACTATTTGTTACTGTTGACTTACACTCTCTGACTTCAGAAACAGCAGAGAAAGGAAGATTTTTTTTTTGTTTGGTGTGGTGGAGGTTTGGAGGGGGCGGGGGTTATTGTCTGTTTTCATGAAAAAAGAAAAAACCCCTTCCAATAAGTCCTTTAAATCACAAAAAGAAATCAAACATTTTTAATGAGGCTATTTTGGAGTCAGGTAGAAAGTTCAGCACGCGTTTCAGGATTCAAGTTTCACAGGAATCACACCACAGTGGTTTTATGTAGGAAGTGGTTGGGTTTTTTTTAAGTAAGTATTTCCAGCAACAGTGAAAATTATGTAGTACCAGGTAATGAAAAATGCACTATTTCATCTGAATTTTGTTTAGTGTTGAAAAGCCACAAGTACTGGAGTATTACATAAAACGGGAGACTTCCACAGTATTGGGTACTACGTTAGGATGTTTGTTCAAATTCTTACAAACACATCCGTAAGTAAGTCAAAGGAACGCAGTCCGTACTGAATGCATCAGACCATCTATCTGGTCTCCCGCTCCAGTTTGTCATCTTTGAGAGCACTTGAATAAACTCCAGGAGAAAATAGTTTGGGGATATCTGCCATCGGATTAAGTCTCTTCCGAACCTCTGGTACCACTTAAAACCCCTTTTTCACCTCTGGTAACACCAGCAAGTACACCACTTCTAAGACTTGCTTTGATACTGCATGTACCATCTCAATACGATTACAGCAGTATTTGTCCTTGCCTTATTAATAACTTGAAGCATTAATTTCCATCACAGGTAGCTTCAAACTGTACCAAACATATTTCTCTGAGTTTTAGGAACACAGAACTCAGTTTCACAGCTTGAGCAGTTGCAATAAAGGGAGAAGAGGAGGAGCTCGCCCTTGTTGTAAATTATGAATTCTGAAAGTTTTCAATTCTCATTTCTTACAATGTCCTTGTAAACTTACAGTCATTGTGTTCAGGAAATCGATAAACACATTTGTGTTAACATATAAACAGATTTTTTGCCACTTCTGTGGGTATTTTTTTTGGTTTTGTTTTTAAATGAAAGATATCACTAAAGAGAAATTATGATTAAATCAATGTACTTGTCCAAAACACTTACCTGTAGTACCTCCTATACTGTGAGAAATGGTTTCACCATATGCGCTCTTTCTGTTAACTTTGTTCCACTTTTTCACCAAAAACTTCAACCTTAGTAACAAATAAATTTGTACCATCATTAAAAATAAGCAAAAATACACTGAATTTTAATACTAAACTCTTTGTTGGCATGAAACATATTAAACAACATAAGTAACAATCCTTGCAGGAGTGGAGGAAGAATTCTTCAACTTCAGTTTTTAGAAAGAAGGCTTATCTCATTTTACTCCACAACGATTTTTTAACTGTTGGAAAAGTTTGCTTGTTTTGGCACTGCTCCTCCACTCTGTCCCTGATCTCCAGAGAGTTCTGTGGCAGCTCTTCCTGCCTCAGAGGAGTAGTTTGGAAGTCACTGTTTCTACGTCCTTTAATATTGCTATCATTGGAGCATCCACGTCGAAGACAACAGCCTAAAGACATCTTGTGTCATCTCCTGAAAGTCTTAAACTTGCTAGTAATCATTTTTCCTGGACAAGAAAATTGCTCAGAAGTAACCACCCATTACACTTAAAACTCTTTTTTTTTTTTACTAAATAGGCTCAAAAGCCATTATGAGATGGCATATTGTCCCAAGTACAGATAAAAAAATCCATTTGATAGTAAGCGACAGAGTATGATAGAATCATACTCAATGAAACACAAGCTGCTGCATTCAAGAGAGGAAAACCATCACTGATGAGGTGATCATATTCTGATACAAGACAGACTATCCAGTGAGTTGAAGTAGAGAAGGGTCAGACCTGAAAGGAGGTGCACTGATTCTCAAATACATTGCTGTTGGGTATTTCTCAAGAAAAGCTGCTTTTTGTAAACCTTTAGTTTAGTACACATCCAATTCAGTGCTGACTCTGAAACAGCAGTTTGGCCAAAGTTATAGCTAACAAGACATAGAATCACAGAATGGTTTGGGCTGGAAGGGACCTCAAAGATCATCTTGTTCCAACCCCCCTGCCATGGGCAGGGACACCCTCCACTACAACAGGATGCTCAAAGCCTCATCCAACCCGGCCTTGAACACTGCCAGGGATGGGGCAGCCACCTCCTCTCTGGACAACCTGTTCCTTTTGCTTAATGTTAATGCAGGATAAACCATAGGAACTATCAATTTCTAAAATTTCCAAGAAAACACCGTGTACGAGAGACAGCGAGTGTTTTGGCTTTACCTCGATACTGCGATGATTGCCCTGACTGCACATCTGAACTTGGTAAAAGGACGGGAACGTGATCCAGAAAGCTGCAGGTCTGCAGGTGAAGGGTAGATTCCCATACGTGCTATTAGAGAGAGGGTTGCTTGCTCACAGTCCTGAAATCCACCGAGAAGCAGCAAGAGGTATTTCTTCTGATAAACTAGAGCCTTTCTAAAGCTCTCTGCTCTAAGGAACTTCCTATATAATCTCTGCAACTGGAGAAAGAGAAAAAAAAAAAGAAAAAATCCCACAATCTGTTAAGATTTAGCTACAGAAAGCTCAGAAGTTATTCACTTTTTCCAGCAATATCTCCCACACCTTGGTTATGCATGGGTATCTAAAATCTATTTTGCTTTACAAAACTGTAGAAAGCTATTTAATAATTATGAAGTATGAAAGCAGCACACATTTATCTCTAAAATGAAATTTTGAGCAAGTATTTGTATAACAGACTATGACTTGTCCAGTTTCGGTGCAAAGTAGCAGTTCTACACTCTGGCAGTTTGGACACCATACATGGAGGCTTTTACCAACTCTACTGCATTTCTGCATGTCTATGTGTATCTAGGCTAGAAAATTTTGGCATGGTTACTGGTTGGTGTGCAGAAAACCATCCACAAACAAGCTATCTTCGTGTCAAATGTCCATACTGCAGACAAGGGCAGCTGGAACAATTCTGTACACAGCTAAAAAGCACCCAAGCACGGAGTGTCAGACTGCCTGAAATCTCCTGAACGTTTCAAAGAAATTGTCATACCCAAAGCTCTAAAACAGTTTAACTCTTTAACAAAGAAAACAACAACTGCTTTAAATAACTATTAATAGTTATTATTAGTTAAACCATCAGGTTTAACTGACACGCCAATGGCTATGGCACTGCTTGCTCACCAAGCTCCAGACAGCCCGTTTGCTGACCATCATGATCATTTTACCTTCGGACTGGAAGTTTCTACCACTGGTCTGTTTTCAATTTCAACAGTCACTTTAGCCAGTTCGGATTCAGCCTGTTTCAGTGCATTCTGCAACATGTTTCTCTCTCGCTGCCAAGCGTCTTTTTCCAGTTCTTGAACAGAGTCAGAATCATCTGCAGATCCGATCTAAAAGGAAGTGAGCCGTGATGGTTTCTGCACATTACTTCCACAGCCAAATATCTCAAACTGAATAATAACCTAACTTTATGGGCAAACTAAAACATTAAAATAACGAGCCTGAAAATCAGCAATGGCATTCGCGTGTTAAACGGTCGGATGGAAAACTGAAACATGCAAACAGCCCTTCTTAAGAAGTATCAAATTAATTGTTCATCAAGCTACCCCTTCTCTACAGATCTGTGTGATCAGCTTTACAGGAATCCTATTCCCTTTAATAACAGCACATCTTCCAAACACTTGGAAACTTCTTCCACACCAACAGGCACCACAGAAACTGTGAAGAAAGATGTCTATGTATGTGCACGCACAAAAGCACGTCGTGAAGTATCTACAGAAGTAAATTCTGAAAAATCACATTCAATTCTGAGAAACTCAGTTTTGTGGTAAGTCATCTCTTGTAGGAATGAGTCCCACAACTCCAGGTCCACTTCTTTGTGGAAGTTCTGGCTTCATAACCCTCTTCATATCAACTATCGATTTAATAGTCAACAATTACACCACTGCATGATGCAGCAAACCACAGAGAAACAAAAGATATTTTTTTAGAGGCAGTTAATGTTTTCTTCCCTTGAAATAAAATCTGTACATTAGAGGAGCCAGTACACACAACTGACCCCAATTTCTCCTAGCAACTTATTTGAGTACAACCTTATTGGGAGTTTGAACTTTTTCAGGAGTAATTTCTTACAATACTTTAATAACCTAACACGTGCCATTTACATTTGTCTTCTATGAAAAGCACAATTTGTCACGTAAAAAAAATCTTATATAATACAGTTTCATAAACCACAGCCATCTAAGTCTTTTTACTGCCTGCAGTACAAACAGCAACAAATTGGGGTTCCGATGCTATCTGTACCTGCACGGCATGTAATCCGCCTCCCTCCCTTTGGACTTAGCAACTTCATTAAAACTGCTGAAAGCAAAGGCTCTCCACTTCTCAGCTTCTTCTTAACGCTTTCCAAAGTTAAATAAAATGCTTCACGAATCTAACACTACCTTCAGTATTGTTCTGAAACTTGTTATTTATTTCTACTCAAGTTAAGCTCTTGTCCCGTACTTATAATTCACAGATGTTCTACACAATTTCAGGTTCTTATACTGAAGTTAGATAAACTAAAGCATGCATTTCCCTACAAAAAAAAACATGGCAGTTGTGCCATATCACACACGGAGATGGAACAGAAGAGTATTTTGAGAACAAGGGCAGAGAGAACTTCAGATACACACTTCAGGTAAGTATTATTTTAAAAAGTTCAAATATGGGGAACAAAACCCATCTGTATCGTACTGAAGCGGAAGGAAGCTGCTTTACATTGTCCCAGTAAGGACTACGGTCCCATCATCCCAGGCACTTTCAGACCTACAAAAACTCAGTCTGAAGACAGTAACAGATACTTGTAATGTCTGAGGTGTTCTGTATGATCCATCTACCCACTTGATTACTACTGACCAGTTGGCATTTGATTGACCAGTTGACTCCATATTCATTTTGGCACAGACTTTTCATTTTGGCATTTTGCCACTTTCCCTGTCTAACAGTCCCCAATTTATTACAACTCAAGGAGGTAACAGCAGTAAATTCCTTTGGTCTCCAGAGCATGTGGTTCAATACCTTAAAGGAAGGAGAAATTCAGGGAGTGGCCTGAAATAAAAGGCAGTTCTAGAGATAAATAAAAAAAAGCCTGAAAAGATGGCAGAGAGGAGGGATGTTTGTGCCCAAAGAAGAAGGGGTATCAAGGTATAGTTTTCCCTCTCTAAGATATAGAAAGGCATATGTCTTCAGAGTGTTTCACTACATTTTTGTTTGTTTTTTGTTTGGTTGGTTTTTTTTTTTACACTTCACTCAGAAAACTTGAATCCCTTAATTTTAGTGTGGTCACAGTCCCTGGAGGAGGCAGTTGCAAAGTCTGGTTAAACAAGAGAAGAGACTATCAGAGCCTATAAATCCTAGAAGTTGTAAAAGGCATTTGCAACAGAGTTTCTAATGCAGAAGATCTAATGGCATTGGAGGAAAAACAAGCAACCCAAACTATTTTTTCTTTTCCAGTACAGTAATAACTTGGAGGGAGCTGAGCTAGAAAAACAGGTCAGCTATGGAGGGACTTCTGCCAAGTCTGATTTAAATAGAGTCATAAGATGGTCTAGTCCCCCCACTACAGGCTCTCCAATCATTTTGTCCACAGCAGAGGGCTCTAAAGCTTTGTGAGAGGAAGGCTTAACCAAAATAACTCCATGAAGACCTACTTGGGAAGAGGTTACATCCCTGTCCTGAAGGCTGGAGATGATCCATTTGGCAACCACCTAAGTGGCTGCACAGGCGACAGAAGGATAAGTATTTATTGTATTTTGTAAGCAGTCAGGCACAGGGAGAGCTTGCACCATGCCTAGCCAGCTTATCATACATCAGAGCTACATTACAGAGCACAAAAGAACAACAGAAATTACAAAAGCCTTCTCATGTATCAGTCAAAACTCTTTCTCAAAGGTCTGTTTTCTGGGGATCTGCTGTCAAGCAGGTGAAGAAGTAGAGAGAGGCTGAATCAAACAGAACCAAGACTGTTAGCTAGCCCTAAATCCCAAAATTTTGGCTGAAAGGGCAGCAATGTGGTTGAAGATCTCTCTCCCTATTACACGAGAAAGATATAAACAATAGGGCAAAGTTATCTGGTAAATAAGATGGAATCCAAAAGCTACATATTTTGTATCAATAGACCTGAGCTCAGTCTTTGATAATCCCTAGGCTTGTGTAAAGTATGTGCAATACTGCAAACATCTGCCAAAACACCTCTCCTGAGACAACAAACCACTGTTGTGCCTTTTGAAAATTACTTGGCTATTTGCTGAAAAACAACTGTCTTTGGACGCATACAGAAGCAGCATCTTCTGGGATATCTAGGGGAAAAATGCCATCAGAAGCAGACTCTGCAATACAACAAAGAAGCAGAAGTATGATACTAAAATATGTTAATATAATGACAGTGTAGGTACAAGTGTACATCTTTTTTCCATCCTCAAGGCAAATCCCAATTTTCCCCTGAATGCTTTACCAAAAAAGGAAGGGGAGAGGGAGAAATCAATCAATCAACTTACACATCTACTGCAACCCAAAGAATAGATAACAACTTACTGGTATTCAACAAATATACACTGTTTTACTTACCTGAGATGCAGGAGGAGACAATAAATCTGATTTTAGTTCCTTTAACGTCTGCAGTAAAGAAGCTACAGCCTCATCATTTGGTACAGACCAATCGTTAACTGTTCTGTTAAACAGAAACACTTGTTCAGTATCAGGTTGATTTGTAGTAATGTTAACATACATTTGATTCCTTCTCCCCACAGGACGATCTTTAAGTTTTGAGGCTGTACTTACGCACTATGCATCACACAAAATGCTATGAACACAAGCAGAAATTAGAAAGTCTTGTTAATTTTTAAGAGTAGAATTTCTAAATAGTGCCAGTTAAGTATTTATTCAGAAGTCTGTATTTTATACCAGTTTGAAATTCCATCACGCAAATTCAGGCTGCAGCAAAACATCACAAGTATTTTATTCTGCTGCCAAAGTAGTGCGAAATTACTGCGACTTGGCCCCTCTTTCCTGGCCCCTAGCTCTTCCCTGCCATGCTTAATGGAGTTTCTCATTCTAAACCTGCAGATGTGTTGATTAACCTGTTCGGGTTTTTTTTGATTACTCTCTAATTAGACTGCTGCAGTTGCCAAACTACCAAACAACTCTTTCCAATCAGGTTTTTTTGGGGACTTGTTCTTTAAGCAGGGTCACTTCACAGATCCAGTTCAAACACAGGCACGCAAGCTTCTAACGGGAATGGCTGCAGTGGGATGACTAACCAGAGTCTGCTGTCACCACAAAACCATGGTTTCACACACAGTTAAGCCTTGTAAGCAGATATATCACTCATTCCCTTCAGCACAGGGCTTTCAGCGATGACTCACACAAGTTCAGAAGAAGGATAGAAAGCAAACTACTATTTTATGAACAACTACTCACTTGTCTACAGTTTTATATATTAACTCATTCAGGTGCACAGCTACAAAAAGCAGCTGCTTCCGTATCTTCTCTAGCTGTTGTTGCTGATGTTGCAAATGCAATTTTTCATTTTCTTTTGTCATGGCCTGTTTGGCATTTCGATCTCTGTTTAAGGTACACGACAGTTCCTGTTGATGGTTTGAAGACGGGAGATTTCTTTCTCTTTCTTCTAATATTGCCAGTATTTCCTGCAGCTCTTGGATTCTTTGCTCATCCCTCTGGTGTTGCCGTTCCAAGTTTTGCTATTTGAACAGAATAAGTACTAGTTAATTGCATCTTATACATATACACGCACACACATATACACACATACACACAGATAAGTGTTTTTTGGTTTTGTTTTTTTATACACACACACATACAGACTGGAAATAAAAGCATCACACCTAACTAGCATATGCATCAGTGTTCTGCAACTCACAGACCACTTTTAGGGGAAGGCTTACAGTACTGCCTTCCAGGGCCACCAGGAAGCCATTTATGACTCCAGAGTGGGCATTTGCTCCATCCATTTCCAGACATGGTGATGGACAAATCTCCAAAGAGCCTGCAAAGCCTCCCTTCTCCTCTAATGAAAGTGAAGAAGCTGAGAAACAAGAAGGGTAAAATTCGTACTGTTGCAAACCATAATTAAGAGCCTAGCTCAAAATAAGGGCAATGACATGAAATCTAGTTCAGTTCCGTTCTGTGTTTAAGCCATATTCTTCTCCATCTGTTAACAAGTGCAATTCCCAGCATGGGCAAAGACGTAAAGATCAACTTCTATCAACAATAAACCCAGATGAAAACCCCTGGAAACAGCTGCATTTGAGAAATGCAGGAAAAGAGCTCATCTAAAGCATTTTTCAGAATGCTTTGTTTAAGGGAAGGCAACATTTCAATTAAAGAACAACATCCACAGGGTTAAATCCCAGTTGGTGGCTATTTCAAGTGTAAGGCAAAACTTGCAGAGGCATTCTCACCAATCTCTCTTGATCTCTCTGCCAGTCCTTCTGTTTCTCTAGCTCTGTTTGTTGCTGCTGTCTTCGCTCGCTCTCTCTCGCCTCTTTCTTGTTTTTATCTTTCTCCTTCATTGTCTTGAAGAGTAACTGCAGTTGTTCCCAGTCAGCTTTCAGCTTCGCCTCTCTTTTCTTCTGGGTCTCTAAGGAACGGATCACCTCTTGCTTTTGACCCTGAAGAGATTCCAGCGTAGCTCGCAATTTGTCACTGACCTCTCTCTCTTTCTGGGTTTCTTCGCAGCACATCTGTACTTCGGCCTCTAGCTGCCTTTTGGAACGGATGGCCTTCTGGTGCATTTTCTCAATAATATCAGTTAACTCCACAGTTCGAGACCTCTCTTCTTCCAGCTGGGCTTGGAGCTCTCGAACAAAGGCTTGTTCCAGCAGTGACTCCCTGTGCTGACAAGAAGCACTTTCTTTCACTCTCATGCTCAACTGTTCTGTCAAAACACGTTCATGATTCAAAGAATTCAGGAGTTCCAATGAATGATTTTTCTCAGCGTCCAAATTTCTCTGTAGCTCCAACAGTTTGGTCTGTTCCTGGGATAGCAATGCTTCACAGCGGGAGTGCTCGATCTGAAGTTCCTTGCGGAGATTATCATTGACCGTTTGCTCGTGCTCCAAGGACACGGCCAGCTGGTTACTCTGCACCGCCTGCAGCTCCAAGGCAGCCTGCAGTTCCTGGTCAAGACGGGGAAGCACATATTAATAGTCTGGCACAAACACTTATTTGTGGGCCAGGCTGGCATTTGGTGATTTTCAACTTCCTCTTTTATACCGCAACAAATTCAAGACTGAACTAGAGTAGTTTGGGTATTAAAAAGTTGTAATTAAAAAATTAACCTTGTAATTTTGAATTAAAGTGCCAGAAGCAAGCTTGCTAGCAACATGACACCAAGTAACAAAACCAAAGTTTGTAATGTTAAAATATCTTCCGGTACATGATTTTTTTTTCAATTAGTTAAGACCTTTGTCATGGTTTGATGTAGGGGGGGAGGTTCTGGTGGCAGAAGCTGCCCATCAGAACGGACTCCCATCCCCCTCGGGGCTTGAGCCAATCGGCACCTCTGCGAATTGCCCTATTTAAGTCGGGACAAAGGAACCAGAAAGGTGTGC